AAACAAATAATTTTGCAAAAAAAAAAAATAATTAAAAATTTTTCAAACTGCACATATACATTTTTTTAGACAATATATGTATTGTCAATTCCATTCTTATTTATTTTTAATTTCCTCTAATTTTGAAAGAGACTTTTTTTTTTAAAACTAATTTAAATATTTAAAGATGCAATTTAGCTAAAATTTATTTCAATGTAAATATTTGTTAATATAAATTAATTAAAATTTTCATACATAACTTCAATAATTGAACCTTCATTAAATGTTGAATTTTCATAAATTGAATTTTTATATCATTTGGTAACAGCCAATTTGTTATGTTTTTAACTTTTGATATTACTCCAATTTTCATTTTCTTAATATTTTAATGAAAATTCTAAATTAAACTAATCAATATGATAATAATATTAATTATATGCTAATGCGGTATAATTAGTGCAATTGTATCTAATCTATAAATATTGATTCGATTGATCGATTGATTGATTGATCGATTGATCGATTGGTTGATTGATTGAATAAATGATATAAAGTAAAAATATTATTTAAATTTTTAAATTTTCAAAAATAATCTTTAAAAGTAATTGTAATAATTTCTTGAAATACATAATTCTTTGTCATTTTATGTTATAACAATAAGGAAATTTGAGCAAAGTTTGATTTACATTTAATTAAAATCTTATCATTCTCTTTTCTTTTCCCTCATTCTCTCTCTTTTTTCACTTTCTCTCTCTCTTTTTTACCTCCCCCTTTTCTCTCTCTCTCGTAAATTTCATTCGACAATTTAATTGAAAGAATGAAGATATTATGGTTGAATGATGATTTCATTTGATAAATGTTCATTCATAGATGATAATGAAGCGAAATGGGAGAGAGAGAGAGAGAGAAAGAGAGAGAGAGATGAAGGAAGAGAAGGAAAGGAGAGAGAAATGAAAATTGAAGGATAAATGGATAAAATGAAATAAAATGTAGTAAATAGGAAGAAGAAAGGGAAAGAGAAAGGATGAGTGAGAGAGAGAGAGAGAGAGAGAGAGATGGGTAGATGAACAAAGAAAGATAAATTGTAGGAATAGATGAGTGAAAGGAAAATGGAGTAAATTTTATTTTTGAGATGAGACGAGAGACGAAAAGGTTTTAAGCTTTAAGTTAGCTTTTGCTGTTGCTTTCCAAGGTGGCTAGCTAGTTAGCTAGCTATAAGAGCTAGTAGCTAAACTAACTAACTGACTAATTAATGAGATATGATTAGCTATTTAGCTTCTTTACTTTAATATCAAATATTATTTTCACTTATTTCAAAATATTTCTTAACCAACTAATTATGATTTGTTCACAGATGAATTATGGGCAATACTGGTAGTTCACTTACCGATTTAAACTTATTCTCTAAGGGTGGTATTTTTACGCGCGATCAAATCGATGAATATCAGGTTAATTTTATCAATTTTAATAATAAATGTTACAGTGAATAGCACTTAATTATCACTAATAAGTAATGGATGAATAAATTTTTTGTTGGTTATCAGAGGAATTAATCCAATCTTATCATCATGTTATGATAAATTGTGAAAGGTTATATCATTATTATCATATCATTTTGTTATCAGTAAATATTGACAATTATCACATCATTTTGTTGTTAGTGAAAGCTAATTGATAACAAAAATTTTTTAATCAAAAATGCACAAAAGTAATTTTTGTAATACCGTAATACTGCAGCTCTAAAGTGTCGGTATACGGTACTACAGTACCACAGGGATTATATTAATGCAAATAATTATTCTTAATATTTAACTGTTGTTTGGTAAAAGTAATATTAATGTAAAGAAAGATTAATTAATTTTACTAATTATCATATCATTGATGAAAATGATATGATTAATTAATCAATTAATTAATTGCAACATTCAGTTTTTCTTTTGTTTTTTCGGCAACAATTTGCCAAAATTGGACAAAAAAAAGACAAAAAGCAAAAGAATAATGTATTATGAGGAAAAGTAATACCATTATTATAAGGAATAAATATTATTAAAAAAAATTAAAAAAGTATTTCTTTTAATGGTATTTATTAAAATAAAAAAAAGTTCTGTTCTTATTTTAGAATTTATATATATATATATATATATTTCTTTATTTAGGCAAGATTATACATTATTCTATTTTAGATAGTTTTGCATAAAATAATTTATTTCAGGATTATACGTTTTTAGATTTTAGGATTGTACATTATTCCATCCTAGATAGATTTTTATATTTTTATATTTCAAGATTATGCATTATTCTATTTTAGCATTATAAATTTGAGTATTTTAGATAGCATTGTGAATTATTCTATTTCAGGATTGTACATTTTTCACAAGAAAAGATATTATACGGTTGTATAAACGATTCTATGCACTGAATCCAATCAAAGTACCAACAAATATGCAAGGAAACCGTCCGGCTATTATAACATTATGTTTTGAAGAAATTGAAAAAATGCCTGAACTACGGGTATTATTATTATTATTGTTATTGTTGTTATTATAGCTATGAATTGATTAAGGAAAGAAAGAGAAAGATTGAAAAAAAAATTTTTTTTGATTGAATATTTTTTTAATTTTTAGGAAAATCCGTTCCGGCGACGAATTTGTCAAGTATTTTCTGATGATGGCGCTGGAAATTTAACATTTGATGATTTTTTGGATATGTTTTCCGTATTTAGTGAAATGGCACCGCTACAACTCAAATTGAAATACGCATTCCGAATATACGGTATGTGATTTTCCTTTATATATTTACATCGATATAAATTTTGATTTGTTATGTATAAAATTGTATTTTTCAATTAAAGTTGTTTTAGGTGAATTCATGAAAAAATAGAAGTTATAAACTGCTAAATATATGAATAGGAAAATCAAATAAATATATATATGTGAAATAAAGTAGTAAAATATGTTAAGCATACCAAATTAAGGTGATAAATATATGAAGTATATTAAATTGAAATTATAAATATATAAAATATAATAATCAGCAAATATATGAAATATATGAAATGAAGTAGTAAGATAGTAAAATGTGTCAAAAATATTAAATTAAAATAGCAAATATGTGAAAAGTATGAAATAATGAAAATGAAATAAAAATAAACGTTTGAAATCCTTATAAAATGAATGATGCAAAAACAAAAGAGCTTAAAAGATTTTATGTAATCCATCTGTTGCAATTAAATTTAATTGTTTTTACCATGTTACAGGTAGAATATGAAATCATGAAAATGAAATAAAATAATGAAATAAATATTTTTTTATAGATTTTGATGGTGATGATCAGCTTGGTCATGATGATTTAAGCAAAATTATTCGATGTTTAACGCGTGATGAGTTATCAGATGAAGAAGTTGAATTTATCATTGAAAGGGTAAGATAATATATTTCAAATTTTATAAATAACTTTTTCGCTCTACCACATTTTTTAGTATCAATTAATAATAATTGAAAATATTTTGATCACTAATAGATTAAATTAGAATGTAATAAAATAATAGGAAAGTCATTGGATTATTTTTATGTGAGAGAGAAATGTAATAATGTCATTTTTAGTTTTTAATAAACAATTGATTTTTTAGCTGCTTCAAACTACTAAAATTAAAAATGGAATCAGTTCAAAATTGACTCTGAAGAAAAAAATTAAAACGATTTGAGAATTGTACATTCTTACATTTATAGATTTGTTTACAATTTATTTTATAGTATTCTTATAGCACAAAAAAAAAAATTCCATTTACCTTTTTTAAAAATTTCAAAATAACCCTCAAATTATCATTTTTCCATTCTTTGTAGGTAATCGAAGAAGCAGATCTCGACGGTGATGAGCAAATATCATATGCCGAATTTGAACATGTCGTTTCACGTTCACCAGATTTCATTCGTACTTTCCATATCCGTATTTAACGGAACAGGATAAGCTTTTATTTATTGTTTATTCAAATAAAGTTTTAATTTTTTGTTAATTTTGATAAGAATTATTGAAAATTTCACACTTTAATTTTATCAACGTACATAGGTATTAATTTTTTAACAAATGTTTTTTTTTTTTTTTTTTTTTACCTATGTAAATATTGGCAGTATATCATAAAAACAAACATATCATCGAATTGAAATAATGATAAGATTTTGCATTTGCATAATTTGTAATTTACTAAATGATTAATGATTTAATGCTAATTTACTTATCCATTCATTTTTTACTAGGATGAGATATTTTATAAGTTTTTTTTGCTAATCACTGCAAAACTTGTGAATATCAATTTGTAGGCAAATATTACTAACCTCAACATTTTTATTCCGCATTAAAAAAAAAATTAACAAAATTAAATGTAAAACATAGACCCGTCATGCAAAATATTCTGATAGAACAAAATAATTCACAATTATCGTCGGCTATAATATTAACTGTTCTCTCATCATACCATTCATTAATGTAATATTTTTGAATTTTGTAAATGATAACAGTACTATTATAAATGTCCAGTGCGGTATAGTTTCATTTTAGAAACAATTATAAATGAATTATTCATAATTTAAGCTCAAATTTTTTACGATAGGAAAATTGTGCTTTCAATTTTAAGCATTCTCATTAATCTATTATGAACAATTTCGTACTTTTTTCTCTAAAAAAAAAAAAAAAAAAAAAAAAAATTGCGAATTTTCAGTTTTTGAAATCATTTAGCAACAGAATGCTTACTTCGCTAAAACTAACAAATTTCTCCGTTACAAGAATGATATGTACTTGTGAAATAAAAACAATTCGTGTAAAATAAAAATAAAATCAGTAGTGAAATGAAATAGAAATGGATACTTTTTTTTAAACTAGAAAATTGAAAAAGAAATGGATTCTCAAACATAAACATAAAAAATAGGAGATATATTTGATGATTGAGGTGCAATTATGAAAATAATAAATTGTGCGAAACAGTTTCAATTCAACAATAAAAATATCTGCTATCAATGATATAAAACCTAAGAAAGTTTTCCTCCACCATCCTTTGTTTCAGGATCACTTTGTTTCAATGAAAGCCTAAACAAAATTGCATTGACAGAAAATTGAGATAATTTTGAAAATACTGAAATGAGATAGAATCCATATCTTATACTAATAATAAGTTATAAAAAAAAATTTTGATTGATAACTTACATGAATGGTTCCTTCTTTTTTGCTAACTGATTATAAACAGTCATTGCTTGAGCAACCATACCGCTTGCATTAGCCAAATCAGATGGTACAATTATTGTATTTGTTTCTTTAGCTATTTGTCCAAAAGCTGTTACATATTTCTCAGCTACCGATAACGCTGCCGCATCATAGCCACCCGCTTTATTTAATGATTCCGAAACCAATTTAATACTCAAAGCTTGAGCCTGTGCATTTATCTGAATGGCTTCTGCCTAAAAATTAGTTATTATTTTAAACAGCTTTACTCAAAGTCTCTATAAAATGACATGATTAGCACATATAGCTTATAGTACTCGTAATAGTGTTGTTGAAAGAAAAGATTTTTGGTATAAATAAATTGTAATATATTTTCAAATAAAACCTGAAATTTTTTCATACTATTGGTATTCAATTTTTGTCTGTTTTTTAGGTATCAACAACTATTACTAATAATTTCTGTTCGTGTTTAATCACTTAATCTGGACAAAATGTCATCAAAAAAAAGAAGTTATGTAGATTGTTTCATTAAATTAGCTACCTTTCCTTTGGCTTCATTAATTTTTTCTTGCATCGAAGCTTCTGATGCCAAAATGCGTGCTCGTTTTTCACCTTCTGCAATATTAATTGCTGCTTCACGTTTACCCTCTGATTCCAAAATTGCGGCTCGTTTCCGCCGTTCCGCTTCCACTTGCATCTAAAATATAAAAGAGTGACCTCATTTAATTTCTTTTCTTTCCCTTCTCTTGCTACAAGTTTCTTGATTATGGCACGAATACAACGAAAATTTCCGAGCATTTTCGAATGCACATCATGGCATAATGAAATTTAACAAAGAATGTAACACTTTCTATCGATTATTATTATTCATGGTTAATACGCTTTGCGACAATAATACTATACAAAAAAATGAAGTGCCAAAATATACTCCAAAGATAGATGAACTTCTGAAAAGAAAAGAAAAAGGACCTGCATTGCTTCCTGAATTTTTATAGGCATTGTCATGTCCCCTAAAATTTGACACGATTTAATCACCTTATATTAACTAACTCATTTTTTTTAAAACAAGTTTTACTTCCATTTTACTGCAAGTATCATAAACAAAATGATCAATTTAAAAGTAAAGAATTAATTCAACAAAATTCGTTTCAAAACAACCACTACCAAAATAATTTCAACGTTGGAAAACTTATAAATTAAGTCTGAAACAACTGAAACAAACACTTACTAATTTCATATCGCATGCATTGCAATCCCCAAGGCTCGGCTGCTTTATTAATTGATTCTGCAAAATGTGAAAACTTTTCAGGCAAGACATAGTCTTCATCATAACTCTTAAGAATTATTTCTAGTTTTCTGCAAATGTAAAAAACCTACATTTAATTCCACAAATTAACAAAGTAACTTTAAAACTAATTAATTTCACAAATCTTCGTTCACGAACTCAAGCAATAAATGCATCTATTTGCTGCAAATGCGTTAGTTGCTGAAGAAATCAATCAAGATGGATTGAATGCGCTTTTTAATAAGTTACTTTCCTCTATGCAACAGGTTCTTACGTATATTTTCAAAGATGGTAGGTAATCAATGGATATCACATCTTCATATCTCTCAATTAAACGGTAGAGTGGATTATTATTGATATATTTCAGCAGGTCCTTATATTTCTTCTTAGTGACATTTATGTGACAGTTAGTTAGGATTCATTTAGAGCATAATCTTGGACAACAGGTAATCTTCCAGCCTAAAAATGTGATCAACCTAGCGCAGGTATTCCCTCATTAACATAACCACAATATATATATATATAGCAACATCTATTATTTTGTTTTTCACACATACTTTTGTTGCAGTTTTATGAAAACAATAGTCTGTGGTGCTCTCCAAGTCAACTAATTATCATATATGAAGTGATTTTGCAACCTTGAGTATTTGTTATCAGTAGAGTTTATTAGCTTAGCTAATTAAATGATAATGTTTCACAGTTAACATGAAAACAACACTATTTTAGCACTGCTTAAAACATACCGACAATATTAATGTTCAGTTGTTCACGTTCCTTAAATACTGTATCTAAATTGATTTTGCCTACTTCTGAACGCATCGTTGTTTGTGCAAGCTGTGTAATCGCATATTCTGGATCTTCAACACCATATGAAGCCTAGATAAATTTAATTAAATTAACATTTTACATCAATCATAAATTAATCATAAATCCAATCATAAATTTGTCATAAATCCAATCATAAACCGCTACCATTCGTGTCTTTAAAATGCGCAAAATGAAAATGTGTAAATTCAAGAAATATAGGAGAAATAGCAAACCACAGAGAGAGAGAGAGAAAAAAAAAAGAAGCTTCTTTACATACTTTGTATGGATCAACTACTCGTAGATAGAGAACTCCATCAATTTGTAATTGTACATTATCACTTGTTACGGCACCTTGTTGTGGTACTTCAATTGCTAACTCTTTCAAAACTTGTATATACTTGATACGATCGAGAAATGGTAGTAGAATATTGAATCCCTGTAAAACTTTATTTCCTAAATTAATTTCGGGGAATTTTTATCATATTTTATCCAAAATGAGAAATTCATCTCTTCTTAACAAAGCATTCAGATGGAAACAAATACTTACAGGATCTAAAATAGAATGAAACTTCCCCATGCGTTCAACTACCCAAGCTTCCTGCTGTGGGACGAAATTCACGACAAAATTAGCTTTTCCTCGAACAGCTCCTCTTCGTTGAATTAGGGTAGCAGTATTCCTAAAAAAAAAGTCTTTCTTGAAACACCAAATTCGTTCTGTGAACTGTTGTAAATATAAAGAATAAAGCAACTGCTTAAATGAAATGAAATTAAATTAAATTAACACAGATTAAAAACAGAACATAATACATACAATCTAAACTAAAATAGAATTAAGGTAGAATGAAGTATATGAAGCTGAGAGAACTCAAATAAAATTTAATAGGATAAAGTGAAGTAAAATGAGCCGAGTCAAAATGAAGACTAAAACAATTAAAATGACTTGTAAGTGGCGAATTAAATTAAAGAACTGAAAATGCTCGAAAAAAAAAAATGAAAGCAGTAAATACAACTAATAAGAATTGAGATGCAAAGAAAATTAGTTCAATCAAATTAAATGAAGTTAAGGTTACTAAAATAAATTAAAATCACAAAACAGAAACTGGAATAAATCCTTACATGAATGAATCAAATGAGTTTAAGTATGTGGTGCTACGACGACCAAATGCTGATGAGTTAAGGCTTCTCTTCAACGATGATACTAAAGCCATCTTCCTGAAAATGACAGTATTAGGTGCAAACTCAATTAATAAAGCATTTCGTTCCGTTTTACTCCTTATAAATCAGTTAATCCAGAATGTCCGAATAAAAAGCTTGTTTTCTGTGTTTCGGGATTATGTCTGCAGTTGTTGGTTTGATACTTCTTTTTTAGTCTTAAGAATTTCGGAGTTCACAAGATTATGTTTTATTTTTTCATAATATTAAGTTTGATTTTGGTTTTGGTTGTATTAAGATAATATTACTTATTTTTAGTTTATTGGGTGTGTAATTTTTCGTTCACTGGTACTTTTTCAATTGTTTTATGAGTGTTCCATAATAACCGGTTAAACATCCTAATTTTTAACTTTCTTTGTCGTTGTGTCTTTCTTTTTGTCTCTATTACTTTTGTAGAATGTCTTAGTTTTTTCATTTTCATTTTTTAAATAAACATTCAAAATTTGGTTGTGAATTGGATTAGTACCTGGATATTAATAATTTGGGAGTAAAGCTTTGTTTAAACCAAAAAAATATTGACTGACTTTGGATTATTTTTTGGAGCATGCGTATAGATAAAAACAATTATAATAAAAATATTAATATAATAAAATTCTATTATAAACTAATACTTTCTAAAACATAGAGACACGTTTCCTTACTTCTACCATACTACAACTTATCCCTGTAGGCCACTGACGGATAGTTTGTACCACTTTGTTTATTAAATTCATTAATATATCAAAAAAAAAAAATCAATTAATGAAAGCATTTAGTTCCGTCTTACTCCTTCTTATAAATCAGTTAATCCGGAATATCGGAACAAAAAGTCGATAATTTGTCATCTTTGTAAATTAAAGAATTAAATATCTAAAATGAAAGAACTGTAATGAACCAATTAAATAAATGAAAATGAAGTACAATAGTGCCCGGGTCACGATTTCTTGAAACAGCGAAAAATGCGGTTACGCCCTATCTGTTAGATAAGAAAAATATAGTAATAATGGCGGAAGTGAAAGTGCGTAGACTTTTTTCTTTTCTTTTTAAAGTTTGATATTTAAATATGTTTTAATTCTTAATTCTTATTATATTGTATGTTCTGAGAATGTTTAAGTGCTAAAATATTTGACTGTAAATTTTAAGTGATTTTTCAAGTGCTCTTCAAATTCATAAAATTGACATAATAAGCAATGATAATTAGAATTTTTCTTTACCGAGTTTTCTTCAATCTATTTGAGTAATTAAATTATTATGTGATTTATATATGGCATTTTTTTCTAATGGGGCAGAATTATATGAATTATATGTATAATATTCAAATCTGTACGCTAATAGTTTTTGTGTATAGGAGAAATGTTTGCGCATACGTATATGTCTCAAACTTTTTTGTCTTCTAATTTTTGTTTACTAATGATCATTCCAATGATCATTTCAGTGAAAAAGAAAAAAAAACCACCGAAAGGTTAACTGTAGGCAGAAAGATATGTAAATTAGGTTTTACTTGAGGTATTTTTCTTCTCTTTGATTTGATTATTGGTACTGACCATATAGATATTGAATATTTCTTATTATTTCCTGCAATTTCGTCAAAATATTAATTGATGTGGACTTCACTGCAAGAAATATCTAAGTAGCATATGCATCTTCAATGTTACAAATTAAAAAATGTTTATATATCTGAAGTGATTTCTTTAAGAAATGATTTGATTGAATAATAATTTCAAGAATATTAAGGATGTTGGAAGATGGAGATGTTATATCTCCAAGCGATGAGGAACTATTGAAAGAATTGAAAACAGGTCAAACTTTTTATTTAAAGGTACATTTTACTGAAAATATACCAGAATTTCATAAATTTCAAATTGCTGTTTATGTTTGTGTTTCTATAAAAAAAGATGTTTTTCGTACAAATTTATCTATGACGGATATTATTTCAGTATCTTGGATCGGTACAGGTTTTTGAATCGTTAACAAAGAAAAAACCTGAAGTGAGAGATAATTGGACAAGGTACTGTTCGTTATTTAATAAGAACAACGTTGCCGAAAGCTGTATCAATGTTTTGGCTTGCAAAGTGATGATTTTGTTATAAATTTCTATCTTTCAGGCATTGCATGTATCTTATTTGTCATCAATTGGGTATATGTAATGAAAATTTGAGGCCTGATGAACAACTGCTTGATGTAAGTTAAAATTTATTAAAAGTATCTAAAATTGTTGTGCCAGACCTGTTAGAATATAGTGCCGCTATCTGTTTTTGCTGAATGATTTATCTTATCGTAAATATAATTGGGAATTAAATAAGGCATATTTTGCTTTTGTTTTTATTGAATTTATTAGGTTAGCTAATTGTAGAAATTAACAAGCTTTAAAATGCAAATTAATAAAAATGATAAAATGCGAGACAGACTAGTTTAATTGATCAGTTAGTCAGATAAAAAGTGATTGATTATTTCACTTGTATGAAACGAATTAGCATGCTCACTTGGAGATGATTTTTTTGTTACGGAAATGAAATCAATAAATTAATTGCAGAAATTAGGCGAAGTGAAGGTTGAAGACAAAAATGTTGAACTAAATGTGGCATTACATGCTTTTATAATTCTGGATAAAGATGGTATACGTATTTTGGAACGACATCCTATCCATGTTATTTCATATGCTTCATCCGGTACAGAGGTCTGCTTTTACCAAATTTTAAATTGATTTAATATGAACATTATCAGTTCTATTATTTATTTAGAAGGATAATTCGAAATATTATTTTTGACTTATTACACTTTATTAAGCTTTTCACTCATGTGACAAACTTTGTAGGAATATTAAAAAGTTTTGCTTTTTGATATCTTTGCTAACTTTTAGTTTAAATGCATCTTTGTTAATGTCCGATTTTGCACATTGCTATACTTATAATATTTCAAGAATGGCAAACTTTGTAGGAAATTAAAAAGTTTTGCTTTTCACTTTCAAGAAAGTGGAGGCTTCATGGAAAGGACTGTAAAAACTGTAAATGAAATCATATCTCTCATATTCGGATGAACTCACTAAGGTTGAACTATTCCAAATAACTAAAGGAATCAATGCTGAGGAATTCTTTTTAAAGTGTTGTATAAAATTGACAATTTTCCATTTAAAAAAGTTCTGCTCCTAGAATTTATTACTTTCTTTCTCCATCTTCTTCCTTCCTTCAGGAAAGTACCAAAGGAGTGTTTTGCTTTGTATCACACGTTCGAGAACTTGGAAGACGATGCTTAGTTTTTATGGAACCTGATAAGAATGTCGATTTTATTATGGAGACTATTCTTCAAGTATTTCGATTAAATAATAAAGGTTAAAAAAAAAGGGATTCGAATTCACATTTATATTTTGGTAGTGCAGTTCCATCGTCCAAATACTTCTTCCTTTCTTTTTCCAAATACTATCACTTTACCTAGGTTTACTATGAAAATATTCATTCCTGTAAAATTTTCTACACTTTTGTTTATTTAAAAAGTTTTATTTTTGTCTTTCTAGGGCATGGTAATAAGTTGAGCATAAAAATGGCAAGATCATCAGAATCGAGTTCGAATTATGGTAAAATTTATACATTTGGATTAAATTTCGATGTTTTTTCCACCTTAGTGATTTGCTGGTTAACTGAATTAATAAAATTTGATGCTTAATTTATAAAATTTGATTTGTCTCAATATTTGAAATTCTTATCTATTCCTTTTTCCTTTGTTCTATTCCTATTCCTTTACTTCGTTGAAGTTTTTTCAAATTAATGAACATTACTGTTATTACTAAATGAATTTGACGATATATCTAGTTTCATTATTAATTCGTTATTAATTACATATATACACTTGTATTTATAGTAATATTTATATTTATGCAAACATTTATATTTATATTTTGGTAATTCATTAGTAAATTCGATGTAGTATGATATGTTTGCTTTTTCAGATCATCAAACTTCTATGAACATATGTAATTTGCCAGCTGCTTTGGGTCTCGATAGACAACCTTGGTATCATGGTGAAATGGAACGTGCTACCGCCGAATCTATGCTGCGAAATGAAGGAGATTTTTTGGTTCGTATTAGTCCGAACACTGCTAATAATTTTGTGCTCTCTGGAATTGCAAATTCAGTTGCGAGACATTTCTTGTTATTGGATGAAAACGATCAAAAGGTGATTTTTTTTTTCTCTCTTTCTATATAATGTTTATTTATTATTTATAGTTTGAAATTAACAAAGAATTCTTGTAGGTTCGTAAGCAACAACAAGTATTCGAAACAATTGTTGAACTGATTGAATACCATCGAGGAGAAAATGTGCCAATTATCTCGGAAGGTAGTGAATTACATTTGATCCGTCCCATTGTAAGATTTACTGCATCATTACCACTCCGATAAATAAATGGAGTAGACAGAGTAAGAAGAAATATGACTGTATGAGCTTATCTATATATGACCAATGAAATATTTATGCCGATAATTTGAGGTATCTATTTAAAAAATTTGAAAAGGGAAGGATGGAGGAAGGTAAAAGGAATTGAAATAATCGTACGATATTCTTTTTAATTAGATGGTATTACCTCTCGCCCTCTTTCTCTCTCCCTTTCTCTCATTCTCCCTCTCCTGTCTTCATTATTATTACTCCTGCAAAGGTAGTTACTAGTTACTACTACAGTTGTTTGTATTCTGGATGTGCTTGAATTATTGTAATTAATAGCAGTTAATGATGTCTGATTACCATATACTTTCAATATTACTGCAGTTATTTCCGTTTTTACTGATCCTGAATTTCGTGCATTCATTACGTGTCCTTGATACTGTTGTATCTTGTGATCAGGTAAAATATTCAATTAATTCTTTCAGTATTTTAAGCTACTGAATTTTTTTTTTTGAACTTATTATAAATTATTTGAAATAAAAGTTTTAAAGTTAGATATATTGATTTGCTAAGAGCAGTTTGTTTAGTGATAAAGTTAAGGATTCGATTGAAATTTTGATAAAAATTGCTTAATTTAGGATTG